GAGATCGAGACTCGTTCATGGAAATCGAGACACGTTGTGAAAATCGAGACTCGTTTTGAAAATCGAGACTCGAAGACCAGAATCCTTGAGAGATCCAAGCAAAGATTCTCGAGACTGGTTGAAGTTTAAGAAAACTAGAAACCGCGTTAATACGGAGATTAGAAATGCAAAAAAGTGCTATTATAATAATACTTTTGACAAATATTACAAATATCCTCGTAAAACATGGCAAACTATTTAAAGTAACTTCACGTGTAAATGATAAATCCGCGATTAATGAGATCGTTCATGGTTATGGTAGTAGAATATTACATAACCCGAATGAAGTGGCAGAAGAATTCAATCAATATTTTGCAGAGATTGGACCAGAACTTGATAAAAACATAAAAAAAGTCGACTGTTGTTATATAAATTATCTTTCTAGCACCGAAAAGCAATTTTCACTGAAGGAAACCGACTGCTCAACTGTTTTTTCATCGTTATATCTAGACTCTGCAAGTTCAAGGCAACTGGCCTTGATAATATATCTACCAAACTTCTTAGGGAATGCCCCGATCTGATCTCTGCATCATTAGCGTATCTATTTAATCAATCTATAAACGTAATTCTTTGTTTTATCTCACCATTCACAGTTGTTCAGGTTCATTCACTCCCAGGCTTCGTTCTGCTTGGTTGTGGACTACCCGGTTCAATTTCATGCTCGGATAAAGGTCGATAAAGATCGTTGTTTGCATCTCGATGTTCCACTCCCTGTTAAACTAACGCACTTCGATTTCACACAGCTACATTTCATGATCCATATGGCCATGGAGAAAAAAGACACGAATTCGGACGCCAAAGGGTAGGTATCATATATCTACTGATTTAGATTGGTGATTTGATGCCTAAAAGCTTTGTCTAATTCCATCTTTCTTAAAAGAATATTTTGCATATACTTATTTCAAAAAACGTTGTCATCGACCGACAATAGGCGATATAGGAGATAGGCGAAAAGCCATAGGAGATAAAGTCATTCCAAGGTCGAAGAATACCTGGAATGACTTGAGTTTCTGCTTCTTATTCTAGTCAACAGGGTTCGTGTTACTTCTTAAACTCCTTGAAAACTCCTTGAATTTAATTCACGTTTTCAAGGGCACTGGAAAAGCTCCTGAATTTTACGATTTTAGCGAAACTCCTTGAAAACTCCTTGAATTTTTGCTTTGATCATTGCTTGCATGGTTCTGAAATAGATCTAGTCAGAAAGATCGGAAATTTGAAAGTCGGCCATGTGCAACCACCGTGTAAAACCTTGGCATAGTTAGCTGAACATACTCCTTGCAAATTCATTTTTGGGTCCTTGTATACTCCTTGAATAACCTCGAACTTTAAGTGGTTACCTCAGTACGAACCCTGAGTCAAGAACATAGAACTTAGTGTTGAGACTGATTCAATGTTCTTTGTATTCAACGAAACCTTTTTCATGTCGGAATGACTACCTAGCACTGGTTGTATACGATTACAATATCATTTGCCCAAGGGCGCTAGGACAAAAATTGGTATTTTTTTAGCCGTTAGAAACTGTTTAAACTGTTACTCATCTGTTCTGTTATGTGCTGGCTTGATTTTTTTAGTTTTCCCGTCTATATACGCCAAAAATACTGCTGTGACCAACGGTCCAATCGTACGTAACGAACTACTGTATCCTATACCTGTCTCGTGACCGCTTACGCAAGCGTACGCGTCGGTTAATAAGTTCAAGGGCACTAGGACACCGAATGTGGTTGGATTTCTATAGGTTTTTTTACCCTTTCGATTATTTGAATTAAATTAACGTTATATACTTGTTTACTTATCTTGTGTCCGTGTTCCTTCGTTGTCTTCGTTCGCTGTTGTAGTGCAGACGTTTTCATTCCAAAGGTCAAACGGTTTGAATAGCCTACGAGCGTTACTTCTTTAACGGCCGTATTACTTGACTCTGTTTGAACTATACCAACAACAACGCGACCGCGCGATGCTCCTTACGTCAGTAATATTCAACCGTCCAGTTAATATGGTTAATCAAATTCACCTAAGTTCTATATAGAATCGGAATTTTAGTCCGCTGACCAAAAGTATGGCTGACGCTATTCTTGCGTACGAGAAGCGTGGTTTCGAAATCCAACTTCTTCCAAACAAGAAGGGATCGCTGATCGTGAGGAAATTATTTACTTTATTCGTGGATGATATAAAATGCATGGTATTTGTGTCTAAATGATCCAGAAAATGAAGGAATGACAAGGTCTATAAATATTGTCTGGGAAAGCGAAGACCTCATTGGAAACAGTGACAGCGACGAAACTCTCGATTACGAGAGCGAATAATTATATGTATATAACATTTAAAAAAATAATAAAAACTTCTACTAACAAATCAGTTTATATATCATACAATTATTTTTCTATTTCTTAAGTGTATCATATCATTAACTTGAATTTTATTCAAATATATACATGTACTAGTACATAAGATGATTGTGAATGAGCGATAATATCACGTCAAGTATGTATACAGTATACCGGGTGCAACAAGTTTGAGAAATTGATGACACATCTATTCGTACAATCTGTTCAGATCTTTTCAAAAAGAACTTTTCTATGGGTTAAAGGTCTTGTTTTCTAAGATAAGCTTTCCCTAGAAGCAAAACACGGCATTAAAATTTGAAAAACACTGCATATTTTGGCACTACACGGGCTTACCCATAAAATCCCGCCTCGATAATGGGAGTTCTAAGAAGCATGGAAAAAAAAATCTCCATGTTAGCCCACAGAACAATTTTTCAACTTCAATCTCCGACCCCTCTAGTAAATGTAGGTCTTCTAGTTTATGCGAACTCGCTGCGCCCGATCTCCTTCTCGATTCAACCAAGTTTAAATCTCTTCTACGAAATTTGATCGGCTTTGATATTAAATATTTACCATATATGGTAAATAGTTTAATATTAACTCGCAACAATCTTCGCGCATGACATCTAGCATACATAGCTAATTCGGGCATTTGAAACAGCCGTGGGTATCCCAGTAATTAAATTCCTAAATAATATAATACTAGTTAGGTTATCTGTAAAATAGCAGACAAATCGTTTCGTTTGAATTGTGCAGCCCGAGCTTCCTCAGTGATTTTGCAAAAAAAATCGGAGCTCAATTATCATTAAAACACTCATTAATAATTCATAAGCTTATGGTCCAATTGGAGCYACCATACACGTCACGTGCATGAACCTTTATACCCGATAAAGTCCTCTTCATTAGTATTCAATTGATTTTATGTAAAGACAATGTGTCTTTATATAAAGACACATGTGATCTTTATATAAAGACCACTCGAATATTATGAGGATGACTTCATCAGGGATGAAGTATGCATCCAAGTTTAGATGAAGACATAGAGCTTCATCAAGACCATAGTCAACCCTAAAGATCTTTGACTAACGTGCCTGTCTTTGCCTTGGCACGCAATATCCAACGTGTGGGAGCTTCTATTAAATCTGGTTGCGCATGCCCGTGACGTCAAATCTCTATCGAAGTATAAAAATTTATGTTCGTGACGTGTATGGTGGCTCCAGTTGAACCAAAATCTTATAAATTGTTCATGAGTGTTTTAAGCAGTTCAAAAAACTCGTAGATCGTGTTTTATCAGGTATAAAAGCACTCGGCTACACCTAATAAATAAAACACTCCTACTCGTTTTTTAAACACTATATAGCCTCCTTTGCAGACATTATTTGCAGACGCTATTGTGTTATTTGTGGGGGAGGGATAAGAGACCGACACAAATAACGTCTGCTGTAAACGTGACAAATTCCACAGGAAGGACAGTGGATAAGAATTTTGCCTTCTAACATCTGCAAAGGAGGCTAAGTTATCATAGAAATATGGCTATAATGTTTTAAAAAACGTAAAGCAAATTATGGCATTTGTATGCCTTTCTTGTACCAAAGGCTTCGTGAGCAAGAAAATCGCTAAAATCAGGGGCACAAATGAGGGGATGAAAAAGCTAACGCTGCAAAACCGCTAAATCAGGCAAGTTTTGGCGTTTGCATCTCATTCTCGTTCCCAGACCCTACCCATTAGCCAAATCGTAGGCTAATGAGTAGGGTCTGAGTACAAGAAAGTCTTGAAACCTCAAAAACAGTGGTATGTAGCCTCCTGCAGGCATTTCCTTGGCTCTTTTTGCTCCTTGGGCTTCCTGTGCCACTCCTCTTCCTCTCTCGTTCCTAGTTTTTCTCTGCCATAAAATTTAACACAGGGATCCCAACAGAGAATATATGGGGTAGCCTGTGGGGGAGGCTACATTGAATGTAAAACTAGAGTATTTCTTTTCGGGGCGGAGTGCTTTGCACGACATATACCACGTACTGACAAGGTCTTCTTTTCCAGGAAAGTACGCCGATACTTTATCGATTCCTACGATTTGTACGAAAATCTGTTCACCTCTCTCAAAGGTAAAAAAAGATATGATCAATAGATACAATTACTTTAGATAACGAGTAACGAATTAATTATGCATGATAACCGTCTCCAGTTTGGCAACCTTCACTTAAACACGTCTACCACATATTCCTAAAGTTCTATGCGTATACAAACATGTGGCGTTATGCATTGCTTAAAGTAACTATCACCCTTCTGACAATAGAGTGCTTACACTAGAGTGATTTTCATATGACCGTGAAAGAAAATAGACCATTTAGTTTGTAATAGTTGATAAAGAACAAAAGAAAATCATTGGTTTAGAGTCTACTACTAACTATTAGTTTGCCTATTCTTTCACGATCATATGAAAATCACTCTATATCCATGAAATAAAATCTAAATAGTTACTATCTAACAGTTTTTATTTAGTGACTACCACYCAACTGGAACAGCTTTAGTAACAATACACAAGGGAGGCCAAATACTCAAGACAATAGAAAGATAATACTTTGTGTATTGTTACTAAAGCTGTTCCAGTTGAGTGATAGTCGCTAAATAAAAACTATTAGGTAGTAACTATTTAGATTTTATTTCATGGACATAGTGTAAGCACTCTATTCTTAGTATTGTAATATAGTTTGAGTACGGCTTCTTGAAATTATAAAGGTTTTTTCATGTCATATATATGCTAATGACTGAGACGTATGAGGAGGCATTTATGGTTATTTCTTGTTCCTTGTAATTCGAAACACCGGCTACTATGTGAAAACTAACTTGAAAAAATTTCTATAAGAGCGATGGAGAAAACAGGAACGTATTTCAAATTTAATTTATCTGTACCAGTAATGTTCTATATATTAAGAGAGAATCCTTTTCGTATTCAAGTGGTGAGCGTCAAAAACTATTTTCTTGAAGAAAGGCTGTCGTACAAGGCTAAAATCTTGTTATTCAGAAAGTTTAACTTGTATGTTTGGAAGTGGAGATGACAGATCAGTGAAGTGGATTCAAAATGTTAACCCAAAGCAAAAATTTTATTCGAAAATGAGGTTTAGGCCTTCATTTTCTTATTTCCCATACATTTTCTATAAAAAAAGCCTGACAAAGCTACATTCTAACACAAATGCGACARAACATCTTTGTACAATTAAAAATACCACTTCAAACAAGCATTTTATCATAGTACATCAGTTTCTAACTGTTAAAAAAAGGTTTTGAGTGTTAACCCAAAACGAAAATTGGGATCCAAACTCATACGAAAGTCTAGTTTTTGGCGCTTTTTGCCATTATTGCTCATTATTGAAAAAAAGTTCCTCTTAAATGATAATTACTCGTCATACGTTATAGCATTATTAGCATATGGCATGGAAAAACCTTGATAAATTATCCGAAGAAGCCGCACTCAAACTATGATATTTTTTGGTGCCATTCAACAGAATTCCCCATGTAGAATCAATGCTGAGGACATTGCAAGAAGGGTGAAGACATACTGTTTAAATGTTTGATTTGAGACCACGATATGTGCGCTCGCTTAATGACCCGGCTTCAAAATTCTATTAGAGAATTCGAACCATAGACACGTTTTGAACTTCCATGGGAAAAAAGCCTCAAATTTTCCCCGGGACTCTATATTTCAAAAAGTCTTTGAATTTCCCGTAGAAATACGGAAAAACGTGGGTGGAAATACTCTCAATCCACCCCCTCCCCTCTATCCACCCCTGCCCCATTATTCTTTGTATTTTTAACAATCAGTGTAAAATTCTGTATAAAATAACTCAAAGTCTAAGAAAGTTTTCTAGTAATCAATAAATTGTGTGCTAAATAGTCAGTCACAAAAGGAAAATACTTGCGATTCTTGATGTTCAAAGAATATTCGAACATGCGTATTATGCCGGCTCCTGGCATCAACCAATGACATTTCTTTTAACAGACGAGACGGTATTTTACAAGACCCCAGATGTGCTTCGTTTGCCGCTGATTTTTTACTACGGGCACACAGCTGCAGTCTACATYAATAAACTAATACTAGCAGGTTTGCTTGAGGTAATGCGTTAGAGTGCATACCACATATACAATTAACTAACAAATTTGTCTACGGTCTACTGAGGTCTACTGAACTTACTAATTTGTGCAATTTCTTGCAAAGTTTTTCACGGTTGATAAATAGTATGCACTCTATTACAATGGAAACGATTAAGCAATTACTGGGTGAGGTTAATGATGGTAATTAAACTGAGTGGAGTGCAATTTGGTCTGAAATCAAACGCGCGATTTGTAATTGCAAGTTTGATTTCAGACCAAAATTGCACGACACGAAGTTCAATTACCACTTAATCATATCCTTTTTGTAATCATACACGAGAAAAAGACACAATAAAGAGTGCAGAATAATCAATTTAATGTAGTAGATGAACTAAATGCGAAAAAAACAACATCTTAAAACAACTTATTTTTTATTTTTATTTTATTTTATTTTATTTTTAATGCGATTAAGAGCTCCTAAGGATGCGATTTGGGAATTAATCGCACTCCTTTGAACCAATCAGATTGCAGGATTTGGTAGTGATTACAAAAAGGATATGATTAAGCATGTTATCAGCATATATTTAACCTGAGTATCAGTCTCTCCCTCCTCCTTAGCCCCCTCCCCTGGAGCCTGATACTCAGGCTAGCTTTTATGAGAACTTGATATGATAAATGTGTTATCTAAATGACTTTCTGTAGGTATTGCGTTTATCATATTTACTCAAAAACATGATAAATATGTTAATTTATGCGTTGCTATTTTTTCGATAGCAGAATTAATTTCATTCTTAATAAATTGAATTAGTGTTTTTTTTTTTTTTTCATGATATCGTAAATTATCAAGCCCTCGGATATCGCAGCCCATAACACGGCCATGGTCTTGGTAATTTACGATGTCCTGTTCAACCTCGTCTAATAAATAATTGTTGATTATCTGCAGAAAAATCTTCATCTAACCCATTTATCCTGTCACTCAGTTCACTCAGCGAAAGATAGTGAGCAAAACTGATATGTCATAACATTATATATTTTTACGTTGTTATCTATCAGTGAAAGCTCAAAATATTCGTACACCTTAAAACAGCTTTCGGTTTTTACTCTTTTCTCTTTTCAACAGGAAAGAGTGAATCTCTATTTTGATACACTGTTTGAGACAGGTGTAGATGAAAACTCATGGGATGATACGGTAATACCAAGAGAGAAATAAGAGAGGGAAATTACTTGATAACGCGCGCGCCATTCTCGACTTTCCCATCCCCATAATGCCTTGCGTCTTTGGGGGGTAACCAATCAAAAAAMTGTCCCAAATTGAAAGGTTTCTAAATTGAATTTATACTATACCTGCTTTTATCTGTACAATRCTGATYATCAGTTTATTCCAAGTTATTTTTGCGTGTACAGATCATSAAGAGTTTTGGTCTTACAGAAAATGTATTGACTTACGAAAAATGTTTAAAATTTATCTCAAACGTCTTCAAGCTTCTATCTTTTTCGGTTTTTTACTTCTTCATTTTATTTTTGGATACCAAACAAGGTATTGTCAACATTGTCTGATCAGCCTTTAGCAAAACCAGTGGGTTTTTACCCTCTGGTTACCCCCGAAGACGCAAAGTATTATGGGGATGTGAAAGTAGAGAATAGGGTTAAGTAAATGACATCATTTACTCACAATTTAGATTCTGAATAAAATTGATAACTTTTTTCCCCCACTAGTTCTTTTGATTGTGAAGGAAACATGTTGCTTGGCTACTATCTGGGCCATATACATAAGTTTAAACAAGTTTGAAGCCATTTCCAATTTTCATTGATTTTCATCCAAGTGCCCCTTTAATTTTATGCCTTGCTAGGTTGGGTTCATTATCTTCGTGCTTGCCTCATTCTTTCCCTTTATTTACCAATATTTATCTCATTTGTATTTACATATTAGGACAATTTTCGAATGGGTGGTAAGTTAATTTGGCCATCTGTCAGAGAAGTACAGAAATACAGAGATGATGTAAAGAAGACCATACTGAAGCTGATTGACACTAAACCAATGGACGTCCCTGTCACTCAAGACAGTCCCTGGGTAAGGACCCTATCTGGTGATGTTCATTGAATACTAAACCAATGGACGTCCCTGTCACTAAGGAAAGTCCCAGGGTAAGGACCCTATCTGTTGATGTCCATTGAATACTAAACCAATGGACGTCCCTGTCACTAAGGAAAGTCCCAGGGTAAGGACCCTATCCGGTAACGTCCATTGAATACTAAACCAATGGACGTCCCTGTCACTAGGGACAGTTACTGAATAAGGACCCTATCCGGTAACGTCCATTGAATACTAAACCAATGGACGTCCCTGTCACTAGGGACAGTTACTGAGTAAGGACCCTATCAGGTAACGTTCATTGAATACTAAACCAATGGACGTCCCTGTCACTATGGACAGTCCCTGGGTAAGGACCCTATCTGGTGATGTCCATTGAATACTAAACCAATGGACATCCCTGTCACTAGGGACAGTCCCTGGGTAAGGAC